GTTTGGCGGTTGAGATGCTGTTATCCCCATGGTGAGCTCTAATACAGTGTAGCAAACTCTAAGATGATTTGCTATGAGCAGGTGTAGTTAATTCTATGATGATTCACTGCCAGCAGCCAATCAATTGAAGGGATGTTTCCTTGGGGGTATGGCCTGCTTGCAATATATTGGACACTCAGGCAATAGCCTCCAACCTCCAGGTCTTTGGATTTGAGCAAGTGGCCTGCTCTATTACCTGCTGATCCTGAGAGTCATCGTCAGCCCATCTGCCTGCCAAACTGTCTGCCTGCATGTATATATATCATCCATGTATATTATCTCATTTGTCCTCACAATAACCATCATACATATACATCATACATGTATGTGCTGAAATTTTATGTATTTTGAGATGTGCATCAAAGCTACTCTTTCTACTAACTTCCATTTCTTCTCCTATAAATAATTCTTGGTAAATAAAAGGACTCTTAATAAATGGTATTCATGGTGAGGTCACAGAGAGGCTACAAAATCCAGGCATTCTAAATGTCAAATAGTGTTTTTCCATGGAAAGTACAGACCAGGAATTAGGGATGAGAGAAGATGGCCAGCTCCCTTTCACCCTAGGTTGACGCTGCTGAAGGGTGGGGCAGGGGTTAGTCAGCATGCCTGCAGTCAGTCCCTATCCTGCCTTCCAAAGCCAAGTCAGAAAGCTGGGCTCCCTGAGCGCATGGCGCCTCAAAAACAGATCCTATAGATGTGAACACCTAGCCCCACAGATGACTTCATCTGTTGGTGTTGTGGGCCAACAAATCAGTTCTGACTCACAGCAACCCTGTATAGGATTTCCAAGGACAGCTGGTGGGTTTGAACTGCCAACCATATGGTTACTAGGACAATACTTATTACAGTGCCTGACCATATGCCACTGGATCTGCATTTAGGAGAGAGGGAATGAAAGAGTTTAAATCTGCCAAGGGAGGGCACAGGACAAGCATGGCTATGGATGCATCTATTGGACCAATAATGTGGACTCAGCCTGCTGAGATGATGGAGGAAATCTCACCAAGATGTCCAAATAGAGGTGGCCAAAGTGTAGATCCAAATTCAAGAGGCTCAGAGCACACAGCCCTGACATCACTGGTCGATTCATTACCGGAAGCCTCACGGGGCATTTAATCTCCTAAGTATTTCAGGGGGTGGTGAGCACTTCAGAGCCTAATTCATCTTTTTTGTCTTCATTACAGAGAGCCCTCTGATCACCTTAATTCTCCCCTGCCACAGGAGAGAGTCATTTGTTTCTTTAATGGTTGTGCTTTCACCAGCTAAGTGCTTGCTCAGAGCCAGGGCAGAAGGTGAAGCCATCCTGAGGACAGAGAAGACACAGGACATGCTGGGCTCAGACCTGGAGGAACAGGAACAACTCTTGGCCAGATGCAGACAGAGCTGCTACGTGTAGCCTCTCCCATGCCCCCACTTCCTAGGAATCATCAAGGCATCAGGAGGAGGTCAGTCAGTCCTCCTGATGGGAAGAGGGTCTCTGTTCAGAGAGCCAAGGAACAGCCAATTTTACAGACAAGGGAACGTCCCTACAAAGATTCCCCATTCAGTGCTGTTTGTCACACTTTCAAATACTAATATTGCCAGTGCCTTCCATAGTTTCTATGACCCAAGCAGACTCCCTGGATAATGCAAATGGTTAACACTCTCAGCTACTAAAAGGATGGAAGTTTGAGTCTACCTATAGGTCCCTCCAAAGGAAAACCTGGCAAACTACTTCCAAAAACGTTGTTGTTGTTGAGTACCATGGAGTTGGTTCCAACTCATAGTGACCCTGTACAAGGTTTCCGAGGTTATAAAGCTTTACGGGAGCAGAAAGCCTCATTTTTCTCCCATGGAACAGCTGGTAGTTTTGAACTGCTGACCTTGAGGTTAGCAGCCTGATTCATAACCACTACGCTACCAGAGCTCCTTACTTCCCAAAATAGCAGCTACTAAAAACCTTGTCGTTGTTGTTAGGTGCCATCAAGTCGGTACTGACTCATAGTGACCTTATGCACAGCAGAAGGAAACACTGCCCGATCCTGAGCCAACCTCACTACTGCTGCCACTTGGCTAATCCATCTCATTGGGGGTCTTCCTCTTTTTCTCTAACCCTCCACCTTTTCAAACATGATATCCTTCTCCTGCGAATGGTCCCTCCTGACTGGGACACAATTCCACACTGACACAAATGAGGCCACTGTGATTCAGGGTCAACTCAACAGCAACTGATTTTATATGCCAGCAACTGTACTAAGAATTTACTTTCACTAGCTTAGTTTTTTTTTTTTTTTAACTTTGAGAAGTATGTATTTTTCAACTTCATTTTACAGATGAGGAGCGTGAGGCTCAAAATGCATGGTTCAAAGCTACATGATTATTTAATAGCAGAGAAACTATTAAAAGTCTCATTGCTGTGCTACCGAATCTTGTGTGTACTGACCAGAGTCAGTCACAGTAGAGGCACTTGACAGTGAAGGCACTTAACATGTCGGGCAGGTAACAGAAACAGCAACCAGAGGTGTCCAGCTAAAGAAAAAAAGGGTGTGAGCAAGGCAGAGCACAAACTCTGGCCCCTGCACTTTCCTTCCTCATGACTAATGGCTGTGACTGAATGGGCATGTCCCATCAGGAACTAGTCAGACCAACAGCCAGCCCACGGCCAACCGTCTTTATGTGGTCACTCTAGGAGGAGAGGGGAAGAACCTGGCCAACTCTGAAAAGTGAGAGATTACAATGGAAAGGAAGTCTGGAACATCATGAATAACTATGAAAGTGAAGACGAGGATTTGGGATAATCCGTTATTATTGGTCTTCCCTGAAACAGCAGGTTTGAAAATATTGATATTCAACATGTATTAAGGACTTAGCAGAGCCTAAGCATTGTGTTAGGCTCCTTGCATGTTTAATCTCACTGGCCTTCACAGTCACACTACAAGATAGGCATTAATGTACTAATTAATAGATGAGGAAGCTGGGAATCACCCAATCAAGAAATGACAAGGGAAGGATCTGCAAGCAGTGTCTCTGACGCTACAACAGTACCACCTCTTTTAGTTCATTTTCAAAGATGGCAGCCGATGAGTGCCAAAGATCCAGGTCTAAGTGAGGCCAGAATTTGAATACTGGCTAACTACTTGCCAACCATCTGATTTGGGGGGCATCATCTGTGAACCTCTTATCTATAAAATGGGATAAATATCACCAACCTTAAAGAATGATTGCAACTCTTATATGTCAAGAACTTTACAGTAGAAAATTCTCTCTGGAGTTTCTCTCATCAGCTGTTCTTCAACAGGCAGTTCTAAGGATAATAAACAACTGATGAAGCACCATCCTGCTCCTTCCCTTTTACTCCCCAAACAAATATTTAGGGAGTTTTTATCAAGGAGCTCTGGTAGCGTAGTGGTTACGAATTGGGCCCCGAACCACAAGGTCAGCAGTTGGAAATTATCAGCTGTTCCACAGGAGAAAGATGAGGCTTTCTGCTCCCGTAAAGATTTATAGCCTCAGAAACCCTGGACAGGGTCGCTATGAGTTGGAGCCAAAACTCCATGGCACATAACAACAACAACAACATCATGTGCTCCCATCCTGGCCTAGAGACCCTCAGAAATGCTGGGGAAGTATACAACACAGGGAGCAAGTTGTCGTTCAGTGGTAGAATTTTTGTCTTCCAAGCAGAAAACTCTGATTTGATTTCCAACCATAGTACCTCATGTAAAGCCAACCCATCCGTCAGTTGAGGCTTGTGTTGTTATGATGCTGAACAGTTTTCATTGGAGCTTCCAGACTCAGTGTAGAAAGAAAGGCCTGGTGATCTAATCTGAAAAATCAGCCATGAAAATCCCAGGGATCACAACAGTCAAATCTCATTGTGCATGGGGACTCATGCAGTGGTAGCTAACAACAGAACAGCGAGTATGTCCTTAAAGGAAAAGAAAAGAGACTCAGGTGAAATAATTTGAGAAGAATAAAAACACTAGCTATGTAAACACTGAATTGGGATGTGTGGACTTTAAAAAAAAAGAGAGACAATTCTAGAGCACCAAATCAATTAAGATAGACTTTCCTAGAACTGTAGAAAGAACTGGGATTTAAGATTGTAGCAGTCAGATAAGAAATAAGTTTGGAAGAAACAGGTGAGCAGGGAAACTAGCTAGGTTGCAGATAAAGGTGAATTGATTTAGAAGTTGTGAGGATCACTTGACTTAGAGCCCAGGCACATGGCAGAATTTGCAGAGACCCAAAACCCACCTGATCCACCCTGCATCAGCGCCACTGGGTGTGGAAAGTGGAGGCCAAGGGAGGTAGAAGTGGGATGGGATAGAATTCCAGATCTGAAAGGTCTTTTTTAATTCCTTCATTCAATGTTTTCCAACATTTTGGCAGTTAAAACCTCTCTTTCCTTAAAAAATTCCTTACAGGGAGCACAAATTCTGCTCTAAGCCCTGCTTCTAATGAGACACAGAAGAGAAGTAACTTGCTCCTGTCAGATGGACGCAGGAACAGGGACCCAGGATGGACAAGTCTGAATGGAGATAGAAGGCCCTATTGTGGTTGGGGTAGGAAAAGAGGGGCAGGACTTAGAGCTGCTCTGAGGTCACGAGTGATACTAGGAACATATACCTTTACCTTCCTACAGAATACAAAGCTCAGAATGCCAGAGAAAGAGACTAACAGGGCTGGACAATGTGTTGCCAGGATATACCATCTTCCCTGCACCAAGAAAGGAGCTCTACTAGCATAGTGGGTTACATAGTGGACTGCTAGCCACAAGGTCAGCAGTTCAAGTCCACCAGCCACTCAGCAGGAGAAAGATGAGGTCTTCTGTTCCTGTAAAGATTGACAGTCTTGGAAACCCTATACAGGATCACTATGATTTGGGACTAACCCAACGGTACACCATCACTGCCCCTAAAACCTAAGCCCTGGCTACTGACTGCTGTTTCCATGGTTACAGGCCCCGAGCTTCTTACCTGGTCCCGGGTGTAAGGTGTGTCTACTCTCTGCTTGTCACTGCAGGCCTCCAGGAGGACACGGATGGCATTCAGCTGCAGGAGCATCTCACAGGCCATTGTATCAAAAAAGGTGATGTTGGCAAGGGCCGCAGAGGCCAACAGGAAGACTTCTCCAGATGAGGCCTCTTGGCACAGTTCTGGATGGGAAAGGGAAGGAAAGAGCTTCACAGATACAATGCATACTCCTTATCAATTATGTCATTTGGCTCCCACAATAGCTGTCAGAGATCATGTGGACAAGCAGCATCATGCCCATTTTATGGATGAAGAAAGTAGGAACTAGAGTGCAAAATCTATTTGTCTACATGAGTGGCATCACTGGGGTTTGAAACATGGTGTGAGACTTGTAGAAGTCCTTGGGTTGACCATACGGTTAATGTCAGCTATTAACCAAAAGGTTGGTAGTTCAAGTCCACCTTGTAAAACAGACCTAGTGACTTCCAAAAACTCAGTCATTGGAACCCCTCTGGAGCACCATTCTACTCTGTCACACATGGGGCCACCTTGAGTCAGGGTCTACTGCACAGCAGTTGGTTTGGTTTGGGTGTTTTGGTGTAGCTCCTATTTATTCCTTCATTCAACAAGTACAAGGGGGCTTCAAAAGGTTTGTGCAAAAATTCTAATATCTTTTCATTCCATTTTTCCACAAACTTTCTGAAACTCCATTGTACTAAATGAACATTATGTGTCAGGTACTGTATTGGGGTCTTAAATGGCATGCTGAACAAAGGGATAGGGCCTGACGTTTGTGAAACTTACATCCTAATTGTAGACACGAGAAGAATGAAAAAATTCATATAAATAATCACAAATTCTGATAAAGGAAAGGGGAACAATAAACAAAGGCTAAGACAGAGAACTAATAAAAGTTCACAATTTCTGAGGGAAGGTCTTCCTAAGAATGTACTTTCTAGCAGAGATATTAAGGAGGAAAGGGAATCAGTCATGAGAACACTTGGGGGAAGAACGAGTCAAGGAAGCAGCATGAACAAAGGCTCTGAGACAGGAAAGAACTCTGAGACCATCTGTCGCTCTAGTAACACAAATGAGACTGTTGCTCACTAACTTTAAGAAAGAGGCTAAAGTTAAAACACAAGAGACTCTACCTCTCCAGCTGGCATCAGTGGAGATTTGGAACTTCATTTTGGGCCCAGGATAAAAATCTTCTAGCTGCAGGAAAGGCCTACACCATGGCCCTAAATATCAAGGTCTTCCTGTCTGATATCAGAGGCCATACCCCAGACTAACCAGATTCCTCCCCTTAAATCTGTTCTTGTACTAATGGTTGTTAAGGATGAGAGCCCCTGCCCCTTCCTTTGACATTACCCAACACAATGCCCCATGGGCCTACATGGCCTGCAATGGGCTCCAGCTGCTGGAGGGAGCATAAAAAGGCTCAGTCCATAGTGCTGTGCCTCACCCATGTTCCAAAGGGTAATGCATCTGACTTCTGTTCCTCAGCTTGAACTGAACCAACAATCAAGATGCTCCCAGTTCCAGAACTTCTCCAACTGATAATACCTCTACCAAACCCCAGGAAGAGAAGCCACTTCAGGAAAATAGCACCAGGAAAGAAAGAAATGTCAGGAGACAGAGTTGAACCACATTCTCTCCTGGTCCCTAGTTCTTGCCTCTTCACAGAGTATACTTCCAGATTCTGATATTGAGCTAACTACTAGCTCCTGGCACCTTGCCGTGAACGCAGCTACTAGTCCTTACCTACAAAGGGGCAGGAAAATAACAGCCGAACACCTGCAGTTTACCTTGCACTGTTCCATTACATTCTGAGCACCCTCAAAATTAGAAAGTAATCATCTCCATTACAGGTATGGAAGCTCAGATCCAGAGAAGCTGAAGCTACCACTTAACTAGTGTTTACTTTGCACCAGGCCACTGCTATATATTTTTTACCTTGTTAAGCCATTGAATCCTCAGCAACCCAATTTTTATTACAATTTTTTTTAGATGAAGGAACTGAAGATTCAAATGTTAAATGACTTGCCCAATGTCTGTGGTCAGTAATGGTTGGGGCTTAGCATTAAACTCAAGTCTGCCAGCTCTCAAGTTCTCATTCTTTCTATATGCCATGCGATCTCTTGGCTCTGATTCATTCCCATAGATACCCTCCCTCATAGACCTAGGTTGCAATCCTACAGGGAGGACAGTATGCCTGACCGAGTGGGTGTCAACAGTAAGCAACTCAGAATCTTAATCTACCTAAGAATTCAGCTGTTGATAAGCAAGGAATTATTGTTGTTGCTGTTGTTACAGCATATCACCCCTGTATGGGTTTCTGAAGAGCAGCTGGTAAGCTTAAACCACCAACCTTGTGGTTCAAGCTGACCTTGCAGTCCAGTGCATTCTCCTACATTACCACACCAGGACTCCAAACCAGGAATTAAGAACTCTTAATTAAGTGACTCCTTTGTCTAATGCCTGTTGGATGGTGGTAGTGGTGATGTGCTGTGAAGTCAGTTTTGACTCATAGTGACCTTGTATAGGGTTTCTGAGGTTGTAAATGTTTACAGGAGCAGAAAGCCTACCTGATTTCTGGGGAACCTCTGTGGTAAGCCTGTACCTCCAGACCATCTCCCCAGAGCCAGGGCTTGGATGAGATCAAGGAAGTCATTGGCCCACTTTGCTAAAAAAACTTCGTCTAGGTCCCAACATGCACGCTTATTCCCATGCACAAATGACCATTGCTGCTGATGCAGCAATTATTAACACAACCACCTAAGTGACATTTAATTTTGGTGCACATTTATTTGAACCATAGTCTGAATCACCTGGGATGTGCTATGAAGGTTATATTCAGGATTCTGTGACTCATTTATAAATGTTTCCAGGGAATGGCAAGAAACTAGAAAGCCATTTCCCACCAAAGAACAGGGGCCTGGCTACTTGCCCAAAAGATACAGCCCATCTGCTGAGTCTATGTGGACTCTAAAATGTATCTTCATCAGAGTGAAATACACAGGTAGACTCGTCGTCTTCAGGGAAAAGTCCAGCCTGGACAGAATGGGCATATAGCAATAGTGAAAGGTTGTTTGGACTATATATATTTTGGTTTGTTTACTTTATTATTTGTTAACATTCATAAGTTAAAAGATTTTTCTAGAAATTTAATCATTGGGGCTCATCCTTAAACTTCCCGGCCTTTCCAACATAGTCACTTTCAAGTGGAATTGGTTATTTCCTCCTTTGTTGTTGTTGTTGTTGTTAAGTGCCTTCAAGTCAGTTTTGACCCATAGTGGCCTTGTATAGAGTTTCCGAGGAGCAGCTAGTGAGCTTGAACTGCCGACCTTGTGGTTCAAACTGCTCTTGCAATCCAGTGCATTAACCCACAGCGCCACACCAGGACTCACTTTAGTTAATGCGCTTATGCTTTTAAATTTGATGCAGGATGCAAACCCTCTTATTTCCTTCTTTTATTTGGCTCTCTCCAACTCATTTCTGTTTCCTGTATGGCTTTTCTGGGCATTTGAGTATGAGACTCTTAGCATAAATAAACCTTGACACTGTCGTCTGTACTGAAGAAAGTTCTTCAACCTCTGTAGACCTTGGTTTCTTCTCTTGTAAAGAGTGAGTATTGAACTTTATGGCTACTTGAATTTACCAGGCCTCCAACTCACCTCCAGCCAAGACTTCCAACTATTGGCTTCTGTGTGTTTACAATTTTGAATTAAATGTGGACGTTGGCAAGCTGATTTTCTAGCTTGTGGGTGCCACCAACCTAATGACAGGAAACTAGCCATAAAGTCAACTTAACTGATGCTGCCTATGTGGAAAGTATTTGCAGTTCTTAAAAGTCTAGAGCTAGAAGGGCCCTTAGAGAAAGGGCTTCAGATCCCTTTTAAGAAGCACATCTAGGTGAGGTTACTATGTGAGGAAAATTGTAAAGTGAGCTTTATAAGGTAAAGTGCCAAGTGAATGTCAGAATCTCACACAATGCCTGCATAAAGTGTTGCTGGTCAGTAGCTATTTGTTACATGAACAAATGAAAAGTCAGGAACCAAATTTGGTTGTTTGACTTCTTATCCAGTGATCCAGGTTGCTCCTAAATTTAAGCTATTCCAGATCTTACCAGTCCTGGTTTAGTGACTCCAAAAGCTGAGCTATAATTTCTATTCATTTTCAACAAGATAGGAATACAGAGTCAAAGATAGGTTTGCAAAACAAGTTCCCTGACGATTGTTATCCTTCTTGTTTCTTCAGTTTTGTTAAGGAAAGCTGAATGAACCATGCATTGCATTCTAGATATCAAGACTACTATTCTTAGAATTTACAAGAGTCAAAGCTCTCATGATCCCCTAAAGAAATTTCAGGCAACAGGGTCTGATGAGCTGAGGCTTACTGAGAAGTCATTTGGCCTAGTCATTGCTGTCAGATTCACTGACTACAATAACCTTGAGGCTTCAAAACAAAGCCCATCAAAGTTTCTCTGGTCAAAGATCTTAATCTCAAATCTTAGGACCTATTCCTGCTTGAGGAGCCCTGATGTGGCACTTCAGGATAAACACTGGACAGCTAAGCAGAAGGACAGCAGTTCAAACCCACCAACCACTCTTTGGAAACCCCATACAGGGTTACTGTGAGTCAGAACTGACTTGGATGGCACTTAACAACAGCAACAACATTCCTGCCCTAGGAGTCCTGGTGTGGTGCTGTAGGTTAAGCACAGTTTTGCTAACCACAAGGTCGGTTGTTCAAAACTACCAGTGGCTCCTCCGAAACCCTGTACAGTGTTGCTAAGAGACTGAAAGGCACTTAACATCAACAAATACCTGCCTGAGGCTTGTCCTGACTCCATTGTGAAAGGCCAATTAATCTCAACCTGACCACAATTCAAAGGGCTTCTCGAAAGGTTACATGCATTTTATTAGGAGATTCTTGATAATGGAGTTCTTTAAACCCAATGAAGCCACTTTAATGGTGACATTTCAGCTAGTGTGGTCATCTATGTAGGAGACATTGGGGGTGTGATGAGCAGACCTTCGTAGCCCTTCCTGAAGACAATTCTGACCAGTGGTCCCCTCCCACTAGACAACTCACTGACGAGGGCTGTCACGATCTCTTCCATGCTTTCCAGGAAGCTGCTGAGGTGCTGGGGGAAGGGCAGGTGTGGAGAGGTGACCTGGGCAACCACAGCTGCAGCCTCAGCCCGCGTGGCCTCTGAATGGCTGTTGTCAGTCAGGATGTCAGCCAAGCACAGAACACCATCCACCTGCAGATAGAGAGAGGGATCTTCTGTGCATCCTGGGTCAACACCACTGCTCATAAGAGTCATGAGATGGAGACTCAAGTACCCTCACCCCCAACATAGCCCAGTGTGGAGACAGGCACAACCAGGTGACAATGCCCACAGAGTTATCCAAAGTCTGGCCCTTGGAGGTCTATCCTTTGGCTCCAGCAGAGAGCAGCAGCCCACAGTGATTTTCTGGAGAGAAGCCATCAAGTGTCCAGGAGCTAAACTCTGATCATCCACCATTGCAAAATGTAGTAGAAAGAATATGCAGAAATTCCACAGCATGATCATAAATCCTGTCTCCCTCTTGCTATAGGATTTGGCATTAGTCACTTAGCCTTTCTGAAATTGTTTCCTCATCCACCCATAGAATGTTGGGGGATGAAAAGAGATAAAGTAGGCAATGGCTGGTCCAAAAGAGATAGCCAAGAAACGCTGGTTCACTCCTCCCTTCTTTGGACTTAAGAGGATGCTGAGCTCAACACCTTTTCTTCCCCATCTTGTCCTTACAAAAAAAAAAAAAAAAACCCTCAACTTTCCTGGAAGACTTGCTGTCTCTGCCCAACCAGAAATGAAAAAACCTGTGCATGGTGGGACATGAATACCAGATAAAGACTCTAGCTAGTTTCCCAGCTTTGCCTCGCTTGGACCTAATCCTGGAAGAATAATTCTTGAGTTGCTATCAAGTCAACCCTTGACATATGGCAACCTCGTGTACAATAGAAAGGAATACTGCCTGGTGTTTTGCTATATGTATGATCAGTTGAGGATCAGACCATAGGGTTTTCATTGGCTGATTTGGGGAAGTAGCTCACTAAACCAGGTTTCACAGCCCAGGAATTGGAACACAATATTATATGACCTCCTGAAAAGTCACACCTGAGTTCAGACCTCAGGGTCCATCCATGGTAAGAAGGTAAGACTTGTGGGGAGAGGGAATGGAGTAGGGATGTCGTCAGTAACTTGTCATGAAGAGTTCAGCATCACACTGCCGAGGACCCTGTGGGCAGGGATGGGACTAGGGAGACCCATGGAGAGGTGATGAGGGAGGCCTGTCTAGAAGCCCCACAAGCCCACCAGGCCTGAGGTGCCTATCCTATGCCTTTACTCCCTGCCACTCAGCTCCAGAGGCTCACCAGAGGCCTATGTTTCCTTTGACTAATTATTGGGCACTGAGTTCCGTGTGCTTCCTTTAAATGGCCCTTGGGAGCTGTAAGGTCCATTAGCTGCAAAAGCCTTTGGCAATCTCAGACTCAAAGGAGACAAATGTGAAAACAGGAGCCTGGGGAACTGTCCGCAATAAAACTCACCTGGATGTGCTTCATAAAAGGAAACAACAAACAGCAACCAGGCAGCCCTGACAGGACTGGATTCATGCCAGGAATTTGACTAATAGGACCTGGAAAATGAGCCTCACTTCACATGGGCCCAGGGAAGGGTAGGGGGGCTGCTCTAGGCCTGGAAACAGGAAGGAGTTTTACTGCCAGCATAAGAAATTTCTTAGGTCTGTCTGGGCCTTCTTCCTCTTCCCTCTTCCCAGAACTGACCAAATCTGTTGTTAAGAGGCTACACAGGGTCCCTAATGGGGAAATGGCTCAATCAATTCAGTCTTCCAAATTTCATCTTCTACCATGTATCTGTCAATTTGTTATATTTTGGAGCATGCGGGTTGCTATGATGTTGAAAAGTATGTCACCAGTATTTCAAATGTCATTAGATTCTCCCATGGTGAAAAGGTTTCAGTGGAGCTTTGACACTAAGATAGACTAAAAAGGAAAACCTGGTAATCTATTTTCAAAAACTACCTAATTCAAATGCTATGGCTTACAATCATGAAGCTGGTGCAGGACTGAGCAACAGTCATTCTGTTACACATGGGGTCACCATGAGTTGAAGCTAGCTCAACAGCGATTAACAACAACCATGTCAACTGGGAAGAGGATGGGGCTGCTACCCTGCTCCTTGATCCAGGTGGGAATTCTGCTCTGACTCCAACCAGTGTCCTTCTCTAGTTGCCAACACATGCTCAGTGGTAGGCCAGTCTGAAGATACTAGAGAAGCCATGAGATTGAGGGTCTCTAAGGCCTTGATGCCACCCAAGTCCTGGACCAAGTCCTAGCCCTACACCCCAGCCAAGAATGCTGCTCTGTGAACACATGTACTGCGTGTTTATTCTGTCTATACAGAGGTGAGCTAGAGAAGAGTTTTCCTTGCACTGGATGAAGGGACTCATACCCACAGATAACCACCATATAAGGCAGCTTCAAAAAGTTTATGGAAAATTGGAATTTAGAGATAATGAATTTTTTTTTTTAGATTTAAAAAAAAAAACTTTTTATTGTGAATTGAGTGAAGGTTGACAAACAAGATCATCAGCTCTCCATTCAGCGAGGCACACACCTTGCTTCATCTCAATGATTACAATCCCCTTCCTGTAACAACATTCATCCCCCTTCCTCCTGTGGCTCCCATTTACATCTTATATTTCACAAATGAACAAGGCAAAAACATTTGAATGTGTACTTACAAAACAAATATATATATATATTCACTTAAATATCCAAAGGGCACATTGTGCCAACCAGCTTCTTGCCCAAAGACACACAGCCTTGCCAGTCCCTGGGCGTAGAGCCCACAGCTGTTCTGTCTCTCCATGCCACCATCTCTGCTGTCGCTGCTTTTGTAGGTAGGGATCTCACACTCTAGGCTCGCCCTTCCTTTTTTTTTTAATTAAATGTTTTTATTTTGCATTGAGTGAAAGTTTACAGGGCACATCATCAGTTTCACATTCAACCA